TGAAAGTACAAAACATTTTTATTTTTTTTCAATACCGCCCACTTAATCCAAAAGAAATTAGCAAAATATCTGTTTCGTTTTTTTTTTCCTTTGAGATTTTAAATAGACAATAGAATAAATCTATTCAGAAAAAAAACGAAACACTGTCTAGGATGAGAATCAAGCTGATAAAATCCTAGATAAACATACTGCACCTTAGTTTTTATTCATTACYACAAGGTAAACCACATTTGATTTTATAAATTAATACCGTTACCATGTTTTCTTTTAGCTTCCCCTTATTTATTATCTTAGAGGCGTGCTAACCCCATGCATTGCCGGTTTAAAAAGCCCTCAAGAATCATGTAGGAGGAGCCCCCACAGATCAGCGTAAATCTACATTGGTATACAGTCTGACGTTCATACGGATATCATGTTGACATTTGTTTCCTATATTTTAAAGATATTGGCTCGTTCTAGTAGGATTACCTTCTTTTTACAATAATTCTAATATCAAACGATAACTTATCAGCTGCCACAAATCGTGCAATTTCTTATATACACAAAACCTGATTTCACTGGAAAAAATCGCGCGCTTTAAAGGTTGTAAATTTGATGTAAATATGATGTAAGTGTCCAAAATTCTGTAAATTTAATGGAAATTATTTACATCAAATTTACAACAAGCGCGCGATTTTTTCCAGCGGTCGGATTTTTGTTTATAGATGGATGATGTAATAGCATAATGGGAAGAAAAAAAATACTCTTTGACTGAAGCTCTTAGCTAAATATCCCTTTACAGTGTGTAGAACATCTCCGTAATAAAGAATCTTAAAGATAAAGCAATCGGATTTATTTGAATATTCTCAAGAGACTATACTAAAAAACTGACTGGCTTAGTTTTGAACTTGAAAAGAAAACTGACTGGCTTAGTTTTGACCTTGAATAGAGAATGATAATATATGTAACAATAACTAGGTGTTTTTTTCGTAGTCACTCACACAACCTGTGTTAAAACATTGAGCAAATCGTCAGTGCAAAGATGCGAAAAATATAATCTTGCAACATGAAAAGCTAGCCCTATACAGCTGTGAGTTTGAAGAACGAGAAAAGAGCAAACAGGCTCGCTACATTACACTTGACACTATGAACTCAAAAGGATTTTCAGAGGTTTTAATGATACATCATTAGCAGATTTAATTTTGAATTCAGAATTCAATTATAGAAGAATACTAATGTTTCATTGCAGTTTCATTGGCGGATGATCAAAAGGTCTTGTTTTTGCAGACAAGTGTTTTTTTATTGTTATGTTGTTGTTGTTGTTTTTTTGTTTTGTTTTGTTTTGTTTTGTTTTTTGTTTTTTTGTTTTTGTTTTTTGTTTTTGTTTTGTTTTTTTGCTTTTTTGCTCGCTCAGCGCTGATTGGCTGTCTTTTTTTCAAGGAACCAGGTAGAATCTGAAAATGTCAACTTCAATATGAAGTTTCCACTGAGAAAAATCGCGCGCTTTAATTTGATGTAAATCATTTCCATTAAATTTACAGAATTTTAATTGGACACTTACATCATGTTTACATCAAATTTACAACCTTTAAACCCAGCGAGGAGGTAAGTGATTACTAAATAATTGTGAATAATTATTCCCAGCACCTGACAGTGTCTAGTAATAAAATATTATTTATATTAAACTACCAATCTATCCAAGGCAGTACGTTACGGTATAGTGTATTTGACATGCGCAAGCGAATAATTGCTTTATAAGGTATTTATGTTAGGGTCATAACTTTTTTATTTCTAGTATTTTTTTGGATTATTTTGCTCTTGTTCAAATATCAGATGTCTAGAGAAACATTTTTTTGAAGTTAGATTTATTATTCCTCATTAGAGTTATAAACTTATTAAAAGGTTATGACGTAAAATTTGCGCACTTATGGTAATGTGTAAGATGATATTATCTTTGGTAAAAGGCGCATATAATCAATGTGTATAACAAAATCTTAAAYGCACTACTTTTCTGTGACGGTAAATCTTCGCTGCAATGGTAACAAGATGTTCCTGGTACGGACTACCTTTGGTGTCTATCTTTGCGATGTCGTTATATACCGGAAGATTGCTTAGACTATCTTTTTGGTTGTCTAGGGCGGATCTGCCTATTTTTCACTGTCTGTTGATAAGATCTTTGAGGCTTTTCGCGCTCTAATTCCATTTTCTTTTTTTCAGTTCAAGYTACTCCATTATAATGCTTGYCATTGTTGAAGTAGGKTTTCAAAAGCAATACAAATGCACTTCAAAACAATATATAGCCTGATTATCAAACGGGCGTAGGCTCGTCGCTWATGCATTCGTTGTCATGCAAACCGGACACGGTTGGGCGGAATTTGGGAGGGAGATCGAGGCATTGCAAGTTGTGTGGGATTKTTAAGGAAATTTCAGACATTTAGGTCATGTTTTAAATCCATGCGCCATTCCGTCGGRGAAAAGAGTTTCGAGGGTGCGTATGAAATCCAGACGGGTGAAGACTGAGTCCTACGTTTTCTATGAACCTCTCCTTATTTCGACAAGCTGATCCAGTCTTCCGGCCCAATTATGTAAGTTTTATATTCATCATTATAAAATTTTTGATATATAACGCGCGCTTTGATTGGCTAACGACCGTGTTTATATCAGAGGACAGAGATACGGCTTACTGGAAAAATTTGCTTTTCGCTCGAAAAAATTTATAAAAGAAATATGAAACGGCCGCTTGTGTCTCTGTCCTCTGATATAAACACGGTAGGAGTTGAAAAACACTCGAGAAGCAAGAGAAACTAAGCTTGCATCTCTCGTGTTTTTCGAACTCCCACCATAGGCCGCCCAACTAATGCATAAGAGACAGAAAAGAACGAATGCGTACGCTTTTATTATGTATATATGCAGTCGCGAGGCGCGAGATAGTGACGTAACACCACAGGTAACCCGCATTTTTGCTAAGAGCGCGCGCCGATACATATACATAATAAAAGCGTACGCATTCGTTCTTTTCTGTCTCTWATGCATTAGTTGGGCGGCCTATGCTCCCACCCTGTTTATCAGAGAGAGACACGCKCGCCGTTTCATATTATTTTCTTAAATATAAACCAGTCAACTATTAGAATGGTATAGACGTCTTTAAAGAACATYGTTTTGCTGTTTTCGGTTCTTCATAGTTAAGATTGATTTTTGAACAGCAGGTCAAACATAGCGTCACGCTTTAGGATAGTTTAATGCCATKCGAATGATTAGTAAAGTGCATGTCCAAAAGAAATGATCGYGTTCCTTTGCAGGGAAAACGGAAATTAAAAACTCTGGAGTAACTATCGAACACCTCGCAAAAAAACGTCTCATATTGACGATGACTACGGCTACAGCTCAAAATCAAGTCATAAGTGAAATACCGGTCTCCTTGTGTTTTAAGAACGAGGCAATATATTATGAAGTGGCTACGCGGCTACGCGGCTACACGGAGTCAGAAGTTGTTTATATACATATTTTAGTATCCCTGTGTCTATCACTGCGCAGCCGCGTAGCCGGCTACAGGTAGAGGTTTTGAGTGGCGGGGTATTYGAWAGTTGTAGCATCTCTTCCCGTCGGCGTCCATCTTTCTTTTCTTTATGAATCTGAAATTGTGGATTTATGGGATGTATTTATCGATAATTAGCGAAGTCGCCTATCAAAAAGTACGGGACTAATTCATGCATTAAATTCAGCTTTATTATTTAGCATTATATGCGCATGGAGTTTAGMGGGAAAACCAAAGTTTACAATTATCGAAATGTTTGATCTTTAGAGCCGATGCAAATAGCAA